CGCTCGGCCATCCTGAATTGCGGCCAGCCGCCGCTCGTTCCCGGGACCCCCCCACCGGTGATTTTTTTACGGATCCCCGCTGCCACAGACCCTACAAGCAGTGGGGATCCATGGAGTCTCTCATCCCTCCCTGGGGGACTAGCACTCACTACAGAGGCTCCTCCCCATTCAGAAACTAATAGTAAAATGGCTCCAGGGAGGGATGAGAGACTCCAGATGCCGGCGGCGGCTTGTGAGTCACTGATGACAGCTATTAATTTAAAGGGGACAGTCTGCTGAACAGTTCTACTATAAGCTGATGGTCGCTAAAGCGACCATCAGCTTATAGTAGAACTGTAAATGCCAGGTCCGTACGTCGTACTGAGCTGGCCAGCTGGAAGCACTTTTGTAGCTCCGTACGACGTACATCCTTGGCAGCGAAAGGGTTAATCTGCAGATGAATGAAACTAGTTAAATCCAAATGTAATGTTACTTTGTATGTTGCCATGTCCTGTCTGTAGGTCTGTTTTTCGGAGGTATGCAAAGTATTAGTTTAAGGGTCTGCATATTTATGCAACCAAGTCATTGTACGTTTTTCCATTTTTCCGCCCTTTAAAGATTTCAGATTGTTTTGAACTGAATTGGACAGATTTATAGGTCACATTTAAAAGGTGGAGAAAATTCTGAAGTGATTTATCTAGGTTTTATTTTTGTTTAACGTTTTAAAAACCTGCCATTTTGCTTTTACCGTAAAATCCCTTTCTCAGTCCATTGAGGGACACAGCTCTGATGAATTATGAGATGTAGGGTTATGCTGCTGCTTCCAGAATTGGACAATAGGTAAAACTGTTAAAAGCTAAAAAAATTGCCGTCTGGAGACGGCAACCCGCAGATGCAGCAGTGCCGTCCGTTTTTTTTAATACGGGCGGACGGCAAGAGGTTAAAAGGACAGAACCCCTCACAGCTGCCAGTTGTAGCAAGTAGTATGACAGGAAATAAGGGGAGGGAGCTGTGTCACTCAATGGCCTCCGAGGAAAAGGATTTAAGGTAAGAATAAAATCCTATTTTCTCTATCGTCGATTGAGGGACACAGCGCTGAGGATTTCTGAGACGTAGGGATAATCAAAACAGAGGGGCGGGTACCACAATAGCTAGCAGAACCAGCCCAAACACAAAAATGTTTTGCAGCCCAACTGTAAAAATATACTTTAACAGCTGCCTGAAGGGCTTTTCTACCAAAACTAGCATCGGAAGAGGCAGAAACATAGACAATATAAAACTTAGCAAAAGAATGAACAGAGGACCAAGCTGTGGCCTTGCGAATTTGAACAACAGAAGCCTGATTTTGAAAAGTCCAAGAAGTACTAATTGCCCTAGTAGAAACAGGAAAAGGAAATGCCTTACCCCACAAACCATGCGCTTGAATGATAATCTGACAAATCCACAGAAATAATGATGAATCTAGAAGCTGAGCAACCTCTCATAGGACAAATAAAGAATTTGAATGTCTCTAGGAAGCTGTGGCTGACAAACTCTAATAGCCCGCACAGCATCCAAACAATGAAGAGAAATTTCCTTAGGATGAAACTATAGGAGCTGGACAGGGAGAAGGTAAAAGCAATGCCTTCATTAGCATAAAAAGGCCAACATTGGCTTGGGTAAAAAAAAAAAAACTTTTGCAGTCTTAAACAACCTTTCCCTTATAAAAAGGAACCAAATAGGGTTCTCTGCAAGACAAAACGCACAACTTGGAAACCCTTCTAGCCAAGGTAATTGAGACACAAAAAAAGCAAACGTTTGACATCAAAGACATAGAAATATCTCGAGTGGGGCAGCATATGCAAGGAGTTTGCATGTTCTCTGTGCTTGCATGGGTTTCCTTCAGGTACTCTTGTTTCCTCTCACACTCCAAAGACATGCTGGAAGGTTCATTGGCTCCTGTCTAAATTAGCCCTCGTACGTATGCATGCGACATGGGGAACTTAGATTATAAGCTCCTTGAGGGCAGGGACTGATGTGAATGTGCACTGGGTAAATTGTTGACACTATACAAATACCTGTAATAAATAAAAGGAGGTTTTGCACCTTCCTCTACAGAGGAAGAGGAGACCCTAATGGGAGGAACCACATGTGCCAAAGCACCAAATCTTTTCAGTCCTGTGTTTTGATCTTGCAAGAATACTGGAAATCCTCCAACTACATTAGGAAGGAACCTATGAAGCGGGCATCTCCCAGTACATCTCTGACAGCAGATAATGCAAATATCTTAACCTTGCTGTTGCATATACACTTAAAACACAATCATTTAGTACATTGAATGTTTTTAGGAAAATAACTGAAAGGCCTCATGCACACGGGGTGAAATAAATACAGCGTTACAGATATTTGTTGTTTTATGTCTCTGAACACAGCTCTATTTTAGCCAATGTGCTCATACACATTGTGGGGTTTAGATTTGTATTTCAGAGCCACGTTCAGTGGCATAAAAATAAAATGCCCCAGACTTTCACGCACAGAGAACCTTACTGGTATAAATGATGTGCATACGCAAGAAAAGGCACCTGTATGCACTTAAATGCATTCTAGTGGCTAGAATAAAATGAATATTCTCGCCAATACAATTCGTTTATGCACATAAGCCTCTAAACCAGGGGTAGCAAACCTCCGGCCCTCCAGCTGTGGTGAAACTACAAATCCCGTGATGCATCTCTCTTCGGGAGTCATGTCGGCGGCTGTGAGAATCTTGCAATGCCTCATGGGATCTATAGTTCCACCACAGCTGGAGGGCTGGAGGTTTGCTACCCCTGCTCTGAACTATGTACGCATATTATTTTATTTTTTTACCAGCTTCCGGCAGAAAGCCAGCATTGATGAGTATATTTATATGGCCGTGTACATGAGCCCAACAACAAATGAGTCTGAAGACAATACAAAAAAAAACACCAATATTTGTTCTTATATTGATCATTTTATTATTTGCATTTTCAAGTACTGCCAAAATGTCATTTTGCATTCAAAAATATTGCAGCATTTGTAGAAAATCTGTAGGTTTGGGTAAAGGAAATCTATGAAAGCCATAATATTGCAATAATACAGACGTTCCAGTTGATCAAACATCTGTATGAAGGCTATGCCCTGGGTACTGCTTCTTCAAAGTCGGTTGTACAGAAAAGCATGCGGTTAATGGATCAGTTCTGTAAACTCGGTTGTGAGGTCCGGCATAGAAGTGTTATTTTGGAATTGATGCATCTCCTGAGAATAATGAACAGTGGCTTCTGAGGATGGGTTCTGTTCCAAATCAAGGTCACAGGGACACAGAATTTGGAGCAATATCTGGAGCAGATGCCAATAAACCTCTGAAGAACGCCAGAAATCTGGTCACGTTGCATGAAGCAGTCAAAACTGTCTGTTAGCTGAGAATCTACTGCAGTGTTATTTCACGGAGGAGCCATGAATCTAAGGCCTTGCTTCATTTGAACTCGGTGTCTATCTTTTTGCTTTCTAGTAGAGGAAGATTAAGTGGAATCACTGACCTATCATGAAACATTCCAAATCCTCCCTGATTTACTCTGTTGTATATGTTTATGCCTCGTCTAGGACTAGTTGTATGTAAACCTGCTGGATTATTTCGACGTACGTTAGCTGGATCCAGCCCCTTCTGAATGAAGGAAGCATCGTCAGAAAACGATGACAAGAGTTCTTCATTATTCGCCGTGTGTCGGATAGTATTGGCCAGGGGACAGTAGTCTGTGGACTCCTCCCTAGTACTGCAGTCTGTGGACGAACAAAAGACCTGGCTGCTGATACTCTGTGCTAGTGTTTCCGAGCTTTCCGGAGATCTGGACACACTCACTGATGTTATGCTGCCGGAGCGGCTTGTCTGCTCCTGGCTAAATGGGACATCTGCCGAGTAGAGGTCAGACGATATGTTGGGGTGGTGGTGAACATCAATAGCCGCTGTAGTGATGATACATGTCCCAGGAACTCCGCTTTCTGCAGGTTAACACAATATGAAACATTCAAAGATACACCTTAAATAAGTCCTGCTACAGTAAACTCCCCGTTACCCGGCATCCATGGGGATTGGTAGATTCCAGATAAATGTAGTTTCTGGTTGCTTGAGAGTTACTATTAAAAATAGGTCTAACCAATGCCAAACCCCATACTATACCATTCCATAACAAACTCTGTATTGACCATATTAATATTGAATTGCAGTAATCAAAGCAAATGAAGACAAATGGACACACTTAACCTAACGTCATAGATTGCCAACCTGAGCATGCAGTACTAGGAGTGACCACCAGGGGGCGCATGCATGCAGCGCTCGATCACAGTGTTGGCTTGCCACAGGGTAATACAGTACTGCATCTGTACAGTACGAACAAAAATCACACTTTTTTACCCTGATCCTCTTCATTCTCCCTTGCTGCAGAGTCCGCTCTCCTACAAGGTTGCAGAAGATCGTCATGCTTCATACAGTGAGTGCACAATACAGGATTTTTTTTTAATTGCCAGTTAGATGAGAGTTCCAGTTAGTTGAATACCGGTTAACGGAGAGTTTACTGTATTTCTACACCTGCATTATCCTCAAGCTGGAAATAGCTTCAGCACCCATGAACAGTTTTCAGCCACATCCTGGAAGCAATTGTACAGCAAAAAACAAAGACCCAAATGTCATACCTAACCCTGATACAATCTCTTGTACCAATGGGATACCTTCTGAACAGATAGCGGGTATGCAACTGGCACAGGATCTTCTGGGTGGAAATGGATCCAAGGCAAATGCTGATTTCAGGGGTTTCTAAAGTTACGTGTCAATAGGCTTTGGGCTTGTGTCGATGGCATCAGTTCAAGACACTTCTGAGATAATTGAGAACTCACCGACAGGTGCATTTGACCTACAGTTGTCCTCCTCCTAGCCTGCTTCAAGTAGATTTTGCATTACTATAGACTTGTATGGAGTGCAAAATCTGTCTGATGCAAACAAAAGCCTGTCACCACTGGCCATTATTTGCCCTTCCTGTCTAATGTGACGGCCTTGTCATGAAAGCAATATTGAAGCTATCATGATCTTCTGGCTGATCTGAAAATGCTGTCCGTCTTACCGATACATTCTAGATTACCAGAAAGTATCCATGTGAAATGGAGGTCTTAGGTAATACTGGCTTTACTGATGTGCATATCTCTTCCAGGTTAGCAAATCTGGAGGTATTAAGTCCAAAGGAGTATTAAGATAACAAGGCATTTGTTTTTGGAAGGGTGGACACTTGTATTTATTGCACAATAGGTTTCCCTTAAAAAATTGTATTTTTGGATAGACATGAAAATGCTGCTGCCCTTGATTTACCCCAGAACGTTGCATGTGTGTAATCTTGGTGCACTATCAAGCAGCCCTGTAATATTAATCCATATGTCCGTAACTTGGAAAATCCTTAAATGATGCCATGATTAGCATAGTAGTGGCAAACAGAAGAAGGCAATACAGTCACATACAGTCTGTACACTTACCACTGCTGGGCTCATTATAATACTGTGTTATATAATTGTTCATGTCATCCTTTGTAATTACCTCTGTAAAATAAAATACAAAAGGACTATGTTAGCCAATGACAAAACTAGTTTAACATATCAGCTACAAGTAAATCTGTGCTATTCAGAAACAAAACCTGGATTAGTAGATTAGGCCACATCATACCAGAGAAGATGCACACTCTTTGAGATGCAAAATCATATATATTATTATATTAATAATAGCTGAATGGAATAAAGCTTTGCTGATATAAGGTTTGTATTTGGGTTTAAGTGGTTTCTATATAAAAGTAAGCTGGATTTTCTACCTTGGTCCTCTAGTGGAGAATGATGGGGACAACTGTGCCACCACAAACAATGTCTTGGAGATGGAACCCTCTAGAAACATTAGTGCCTCCCTCCCCTCCACTGGAGGCTGACTGACATTAGACATGTGTGGAGGACGGCAAGGCTGGGTCCTGGATGGGAGATATACACTGAGTGGCCAGATTATTATGACCACCCATCAGTACTTCGTTGGGCCACCTTTTGCCTTCAATACTGCGGCGATTCTTCTTGGCATTAACTCCACGAGGTGATGCAAGGAATCTGACACCATGCCTGCTGAATAGCACTGTCCAGTTCTGTGAGATTTGATGGTTGTGGAACCAGCTGCCTGATGGCTCTTTGAACTTCGTCCCACAAATGCTCAATTGGATTGAGATCTGGTGATTGTGGGGGCCACCTAAGCAAGGTAAAGTCTCCCTCATGTTCTTGAAACCACTCCTGCACAATACGAGCACCGTGGCATGGCGCATTGTCTTGTTGGAAGAAGCCATCTCCATTGGGATACGCCATCAACATGATAGGATGAACTTGATCAGCAACGATACTTTGGTATGTTGTGCTATTCAGACGTTGTTCCACACAAATTAAAGGGCCCAAATCATGCCAGGAAAACATGCCCCAAACCATAACACCGCCCCCACCAGCTTGAAGGGTTGTACTCATGCATGTGGGGTGCATGCTTTCATGCTGTTCCCGCCAAATTCTCACTCTGCCATCTGCATGATGCAACAGGAAACGTGATTCATTGGACCACATGACTTTTTTTCCAATGCTCGACTGTCCAATCCTTGTGTTCCTGTGTGAATTGACGACGTTTTATCTTGTTAACTGCAGACAGCAAAGGTGTTCGAACAGGCCTTCGGCTTCCATATCCCATACAATGCAGTGTACGGCGAACAGTGTGTTCAGAGATCATTTGAGAGGATCCCTGATTAAGATCTCTGATGAAGACATACTAGAGTTGTTTTTGATAATGCAATCAAAGAATCCCTTTATGTAGTGAGTGCTGGCTTCTGTCTGCTCATCACTTTCATCCACTTCCTGGATTCCCAGTGTGCTTTGCATCTCTTTCCCTGCTGCTTGATGTGATGCAATCCCGATTTCTAAAGACTACATATGCAGCAAGCAATGATGATGTTACATTGTTCAGACGTTGAGTTGTAGTTCAGACACAAGGAAGTTCATATTCACAGGGCTGTGAAATTGTGTCAGTGCATTGAGGAAGTACATCCTATGGGCATCTTAAATGAGTACATTTCCAAACCTCTAGATCAATATGGATATTCAATATAGAAATACAGATTTATTGTTTGTTTTTGACCAGAGATACTCTTGAATAAGTATTCCCTGTGTACCTTCTAAGGAAAATCGCATCTCAGGCAGAGAACCCCTTAAATCTTCCCTGAACTGAGCAGCTGAGAATAGTAAGAAATCATTACTGCGAGTCAGGAATTTCATGTTGGTAAAAAGCATTATCAGCTCTGCCTGTGGTTTAGCAGATTTAAGTGCTTGGATGTTTGCAGAGCTGGGTACTGGTAACAGAGTGTTACCCTCTGTGCTTGTGGTTTATCAGCTGTAAATGCTGCTGTGTTTCAGGAATGTTCTCGCTTCCCAGCGAGCCATATATCCCACATTCCTCTGGGAGCCACCGATGGCTCTCTACAGCACTCTGCGGTTTACAGGTGAAACAAACAGATGTTTTCCGTTCAAATATTTCTCCACTTTCTATGACCCAAACCGCCGACTCTACCTTCTCTGCATCCTGAAGACAATCAAAGTTGACAATGAGACGGAACAAGTCTGCTCTCCTGGTCTGGGCTGGGTTTTAAAAGCTTTTTTGGCCATGTCGAGGCTGAATTGCCTGCAGTCAGGGGAGGGCTGTGAGCTAATGTGAGAGTTTAGAATGAGCATGAGTGTAGCTGTGGGCTGTTAGACACTAAGAAGCATGCACGGCGGCGGCACAGCTATCTGCTCTTCAATCTCTTCATTGTTTTCATCTATAATTCACACTCCCCGACACATGACCACACAAAGCTACATACAGTCCAACCCGTCCATAATAACACCAAAGACTATTATCCTTTTCAGGTTATCATTTTTTGTATATATGTAAGAT